CCCCCAATTTGAGGATTTACGGTAATTATTTAATTGAAATTAATTAATGAAACAAAAATTAAAGGCTTGAGGCTTTGGTGCCTGATTACTTTATTACCTTAGTGATCAGTGCACGGCAGCCCCCTAAAACATCCACATAAGTTCTAAAAAAAGAATGGCACCCACCTGAAGATATAAGGGACTTGGCTACTGTCTGCTCTCCACCCCGACATGGATCAAGCAATTCAACAATATTAGTATCTCCATGTGTGTAGACAATCCTACACAAAAATGGCTTCTCAGCCACCAAAGACTTGAACTGCTGTATTGCCTCCACAGACCAATTCTGTCCTCTTGGTTTCCTCACACCTGCCAGGGAACAAGTCAGTGAGAGGGGAGGAAAACTCTGGAATTGCTGAGGCAAAGGACAAATATCACCATATGGCACAACCTCACTGTTTCCAAAATCTATGTAACGAACTCGGAAACCACCAGAAACATGCTCTAAAATTAAAGCACGATACCAAACACTATCCACTGAGAACCGGGCAGCACATATATCCCCAGGGGCAGGTCGTGGTGCTGGACACTCAGGGGGAGAAGAATTTCCAGACATGTGCTGATTTAAATCCTGCATTAATGACTCAAGCTTGCCTAGGAGTTGTTTGTCAGTTTTCATTGCATAGAATTCCCATGGACTCACAATGGCATTGATAATGGCTTCGAATGGCTCCCTTCTTTTTTGTGGTTCAGAGGACTTTCCTGGAGGGTTGCTGTGTTGCATGTGCAGTAAAGTATTTCTGCCTGAATCACGTGAGCATTTGTCTTGGTTAGGATTATATCTTTGTTGTTCACATTCATTTTCGTGATCTTGTTTGCTGTTTGGTCTGTCAGCTTGTTGCCTTGCAATGTTGCTAAACCCTGTGTTTTCATCATTATCAGGTTGTTTTGGAGGGTGCGGTGGAGAGGGTTGCTGTCGCCTAGTTTCAGCAAAGCCAGCTTTCATAAAGTCTTCATTGACTGTATTGCCGGAGTTGACGGTATCGTCAGGAACAGATAATTTAACAGACAACATTTCATCGTGCTGTCCACATACATGCACTTTGCACTTCATGCCTAAGACTTTACTTTTGAGAAAAGTGGTTGATTCTGACGCCCACTGAACAGATGAAGAAATATCTGCTATTCCATGTAGAGAAAGCTTGAGAGCTTGTCTAGGAACACGGGCAAGATCCTCTGATATGCAGCGCACTTTATCTAGTGCAATGTCTTCATGATTACCAAAATCTATGTACGTCACCCTCAGGGTTCCTGTATTGTTAACAAAGTCAACTTTCACTCGATACCAACAACTGTCCAAGCTAAACTTGGCAACACATACTTCACCAGTACTTGGAAGATAGTTTTCAAAGGCAGAATTACAGTAGGATACTTGAAGAAGTTTTTTCAGTTTATTCTGCCTCTCTAACGCTTCAGGGGTACGCAACTGAGCCCAAAAGCAGCTTGGATTCTCAACTTCTGTGACAACAACTTCAAAAAAATCTTCTGATGGCACAGCTTCCATGCTAAGTTGTTTAATGAAGAAACGTTTCTCATCTTTGGTACTCGTTGGATGGTGTGGCGTGCAATTTTCGTTGCTTGCAATGTCAACTGTTGGCAGTGTAACTGATTCTAATTCCATGATGTGCTCTGGAACAGGTCCTTGAGCAGATGATTCTGTGATTGCTGTGTGAAGAACTGGTCCTTTTGTTTGTGCTGCAGACGCGTCAGGAAAAGGATCTTGATGCATGCAATTATCTATTAATGCTGAAGTTGGAGCGCTAGAACCGTCACTGTCTTCACAATCACTGTCTTCACCATTTTCAGCAACTTTCACTGGAGTGGGATCAAAGCCCATCATTTTGGCAAACATCTCAGCATTGTAAACGTCAAAATCTTCTCCCGTCTCTAGATCATCTGGATCTTTTTTCTCAGATACTGCTTCAGTATGTTGGTCTTCAGGTGCAGTAGAGGTTGAAAGTCCATCAGTTGGTTGTTCAGGATCCCCAGGAGGTACAGGTAAAACAGCTGAGGTTGTGTGTAGCATAGCAACTCCTTCAGCGGGTTTGAAAGAAGTATCAGTTTTAAAAACCGTCCTAGGTCCGTCTGGTGAGGTAGTTGGTTTTCTGTTTGCAAGTGGTTGCTGTACGCAAGTACGTTTGTGCTTAGGCCAGTCATTCCTTTGACAGTCCCGACTGCAGTATGGCGTTTTACATGTTGAGCACCACTTTAGCCCCAACTGGCCACAGAAGCTACAAGGACGTCCTGGTAGAGACAAAAAAGGTTCAGTGTTGGACTGAAAACAACACTCTAGCTAAAAAATTACAAAAAAAAAAACTTCAGGGTACAGAACGTAGTACTGGAATTATTTGTCATGTTACAGAACTACCTACGTTAAATTTTACTTTCCTTTAAGTAATGTTTATCATCTTTAATTATCTATCAGCAACCAATAAAATTGATATTGTGAATATTGTTTCTCATCTCCTCTTGTCGTGTATTTTTACTGTTCCAAAGTATGAAATCTCTTTGAAATAGATCTTCAAAGTTGTTATAAAGAAAGTCAAAAGTTTGAGAGTAAATGCTAATCGTAAGAGATGCGTTCCCACGGACTTTAGTGGGTCTTTTGGACAGTCAAATTGTAAAAACCACGGCTAAAGTTCTGGGCTGTGATTTACTGCTAAAGATTGATTCATAGCTTTTTGGACATAATCTAAGACCTTATAATCAGCATAGCATCATCTCAGGTTTGAGATAATTAAGCTTCCTGGTTATATAACCAACATTCAGAAGTACCTTTTCAATATTATTACAAAAACAGAAAATCCATCTCCTGACGGCAGGTCTAGAAAATAGAGTTTTTCACGAATTATCTGATGTTCCGATCAAGTAGTGCCAAAGGTGTTCTTGAAGTCGATGAACAGAATATTACTGGATGGCGATTAACGTCCATGTAACCCATTAAATCATCTAAAAACAACATTTGTTGGCTTCACACTAGAAGCTAAGTTAGTTTCAAGTAAGCACTCGACTCAAGTGCACTTCAGAAAACTTTGGTTCACACCTGACGACAACGTATAATACTTGAAATACAAGCCATCAATTTTTTTTAAAGTAAAATCAGTGACGCATATCATAAATGCAATTGTTCGGCAGTAAAATAGAGCGGCCTTTGCAAAGGAAGAGAGTTTTCTATAGTTTCCTGTTTAATTTGTCTAAGGGTTTTACACTTACAAGAAAACCATATAGGTACCTGGTTGTAAACAGCACGAGTACATAGCAGCAACACGGTTTTTGGCAAAGTTTTTGGGTGCAAAGAAACGACAGGTCGAAACTTGAAACAGCAGCTGTTTGCAATTTGCAGAACTGCAGTTGGTGTCAGATGATATGAAAAGCGATGGTTTAGGCTCTCTATGAAAATGAAAGTCGAGCAAAAAGTTGCTCGTCCGTCCTTTCATCAGAATTGTAGCACCACTGCACATTGCTTTCCATTGGCTTCCATTTCTATTGGTCAAGTGAGTTCTCAGGTGTGGTGTAGACCATACTTGGCAGCGCAGTTCGGCTTTTTTGAACTACGAATGTTTCCATGGTCACTATGTTAAGTCCAAGTACGTACATTTTACCCCTTAAAACGCAAAGTAGGTTCCAAGTGCACTAAGATTATACTTACAAGCTCTTGTGTGAAGCCACCAATTATTACTTATGCACTCATAGCTATGTACCTTGCCTTTGATAAGAACTGTTTGATCAGGATAAATGAGCTTTTGCAGGGTTTGCTAAATCCTCCTTCCTTTTATTTTGAATATTACCTTGAAATTATCACATAGGAGTGTTGTAGGTCCCCAACGTGATATTTCAGAGACATGCGGCAAAAGAGGTATAATTTCCTATCTCAGAAACAGAGAGTTGCCCTGGAGAAAAACTTCACTACACGAATTGAGACGGTGTTAACCTAACAATCTTAAAGTTCTTTGGTAAAACCACTTTCCACAGGTAATTTCCTATTCTTGAAGTTTTTCCAAAGTATGTCAAGTTCTTAACACAACTTATGAGACTACATTTCTTGATTACACAATCATGCTGTTATATTGTCAGCAATGTCTGTTTACGGTTAGCAAGCATATGTGACATTGAGCATTTACAACAGTATATACATTTCAATTATTTACTTTATATAAAACCTAAGTACAGTAAAAAAAAAACACTGTTTGTGACTGATTTGTTCCAAGCAGTCGCAAACAGTGTTTTTTTAGTAATCATTAAAGTGCACCTAACCCCCCAATTTTTTTTCGCTAAGACGAATCTACTTGTTGAAATACTTCTGTGAAAAAATTTTTGGATTTGGTTAAATCTTCGATTTTCTGTGCCCCGACGAAATCTCGAAAATAGCTCCAAAACATAGCCATTTTGTTTCGCGACCGAGTTTGAGGAGAATGGGTCCAGCGGCTGTTGTGACGTCTACCGGGAAGGTTGAATATCTCATGTACTCTCACTTCCTTCAGGATGGTGCAATACACATTCGAAAAGTGCGCAGAAACGCCTTCCAGAAGTGCTATCGGCTGTTGCAGCAAAATCCCAGATTCAAAGACAGATACACTGTACAATTTACTGGCGATGATTGGTCAATGGTACAATAAAGACGTAAACGATGGTTGATTTTGTCAAACCGAAACAAGTGAACTGAGTCTGTGAGAACCATTGAAGAACTCTCACTGGAATTTGTTCCGCAGACTTTCAAACGCTATTTTCAAAATTTTCTGCTTAACACCAACCAGCAGTTTGTAGGAATACTACCGACAGCCTATATCTTCCAATCCCACCGTATGTATAACATAGCCGGCAAAGTTGTGTGATCAATCAAGAGGCGTTACTAACTATGGACCAACATACTGATATGTAAATAGGTCGCAACGGTACCGTCCGCCAACCAACACTTATTTCTCTTTCGATTTAGATAAAAGTTGAAAATTAATCCTTTAGAATTACATGATAACAAAATTGTTAGACTCACAGAGTTTTTCGAAGGTTTGGAAATCAGCAGTGCGACAAACATTCTGTGCAATAGTGTCGAAAATATGACCGCGTAACATTATCTGCGGTCGGACGAATTTCACTGCAAACTTTGAGAAAAATTTACAATGGTTATTTGGAGTTACGACTTAAAGCGTGTGACAATGTGAAATCGGTAATTGTATGAAATGTTTCCTTCCGCCTTGCTTCCCTCAGCTTCCAAAATACAGGTCCAGACAATCATCTAAGATCGCAATTTTCAATCGATCGAAGCCAGTGTTTTGGAGGTCATCAAGTCTTGAAATCTGCAACACTTAACGTCGCTCTTATAAACATAAAGCATTCCAGAAAGTAAAACACAAACTGGGTTTAATAGAACCACACCTTGACAAAATATATTCTTGCTAAGGAAAAATGTAAACAGGCTATAAACACGCGTGGGAATCTTGTGTTTGGGTGACGAAATTACCATCCAAAGCGGTCCTTGAGTTTTCTTTCCTGCTTTTCGTTTGCCTGCTCCTCTACTTCGTATCTAGCCTTTCATTTTTACAGTGCTGTACGTGGTACCATAAACACCCAGACAGTTTTTTGACATTTTTTTGACATATTTTTGACGAGTTTGATGCTTGGTAATTGGCAACTGGCCAATCAGGGAGCAGATAATCTTGTAAGGCGGAGTAGATCTCCCAATGTGACATCCATTACAAAAAACATGGCAACGTACCACGTGAAGGTGAAGTACTGGGAGGAAAGATTTAGTACTTTCTTGATCAAGGATATCTCCTTTGCTAAGCTTATGCAGGCGATAAAGCAAAACTGTTCACCACTTGCACACTTACCCGCTTCAAACATTCGTGTAAGATATCGTGACGAAGACGGCGATATCATCAATCTGTCGGAAGATCCAGATGATTTTGCTTTCGGCAAGATGCTAAGGAGTGCAAAAGAAGTCAAGGATCGGGACTATGGAAAGATTTTTCTTCAGGCAAGCGAAGTAGATTTGCCGCTGCCAAGAAAACTGAGACGAATGGACGCGGAAATGCCGAGTTCTTCAGCTTCTAACGAATTCAAGTCGCTGCAACCAAAGCATTTGTCTTTCACACCAAAACCTGGCGCGCATCTCGCAACTACAGCAGCTCCAAAAAATGCTGAGAAAAGTCCTTTGGACTGCCAGCGACAGGAAATGGAAGAAAATCTTAAGGTGTTGAAAGTACAAGTTACTAGTGCCAAAGAAGAATTGGAGAAACTGAACAGTGAATCCAGACACTTTCAGTCGCTCAGTTGTATTCGAGCTCGACTCTGTAACAACTGTCATTGCCGTGGTCACACAAAAGTAAAATGCTCAAAACCTCCTTGCACGGACATCAGTGTGTGTAAAATAATAGAAAAGCATCCCGAACACAAAACGAAAATTAGCCAACTTCAGCGTGAAATTAGATTTCTGGAAAACAAGGCACAAGAAGAGGAAACCCATCTCAAAAGTTTCACGGCCGCAAGTGAGCGCGCAAAATCTTCGTTTTTCTTTGTTACGAGACCTAGATTGAAGGCACAAAACCAAGTAAAGTATGCGAACAGAAGCCGGCTGGATAGGGATCTGATAATTTTACAAAGAGCGCTCAAAAAGGTTCCCGACTGGTGTGAAGACGAAGACTGGAGACTTCCGATGATTATTGATCAATATGAGAACTCAAATGTAAACATCTATTTATAAATGGAGCGTATCACCACACTCACAGGATAGAAGGCATCTTATTTCTCTTCTTGTAATGTTATGTTTTTAGAATTGAATTATATTCCTCGTGTTGTTTTTCTCGAGTAAAATTAAGGTAAACTAAAGTGAACTCAACAGTTCCTGCACACTGATTTATTTGAACCTGGGGAATATTTATCAAGGTCAAATAACAAATAACTCGGCTTGATAGCGTTGCTAATTTCAGATTCTCCTTCGTTTGTTGATTTTTCTGGAAATGTTCTACTGTTGTAGTTATTAGCTAAACAAACCTTCGTTTACATTCCGCTCTTGTAGTTGTACCTCTTGCGTTACTATGTCTGTGATATGTATTTTGCAACTCAACAATGTCAACAAACAGCAAACTTTGTAAATATGATATGTTGTGTTCAGAGATATCATGTAACATTTTTCTTAGTTGAGTTTTCTGATCTGGTGNTAAATGGAGCGTATCACCACACTCACAGGATAGAAGGCATCTTATTTCTCTTCTTGTAATGTTATGTTTTAGGATTGAGTTATATTCCTTACGTTGTTTTTCTCGAGTAAAATTAAGGTAAACTAAAGTGAACTCAACAGTTCCTGCACACTGATTTATTTGAACGTGGGGAATATTTATCAAGGTCAAATAACAAATAACTCGGCTTCATAGCGTTGCGAATTTCAGATTCTCGTTCATTTGTTGATTTTTCTGGATATGTTTTACTGTTGTAGTTGTTAGCTAAAGAAACCTTCGTTTATATTCCGCTCTTGTAGTTGTACCTCTTGCGTTACTACGTTTGTGCTATGTGCTTTGTAACTCAACAATGCCAACAAACAGCAAACTTTGTAAATATGACATGCTGTGTTAAGAAATAACATGTAACACTTTTCTTAGTTGAGTTTTCTGATCTGGTTTACAAAAAGGTAAAAAAACGCGTTGCTCATAAAAAGTATCCACAGTGCTTGAAATATGCATACGAGCTATTGGCAGTAATGTTGAGCATCGCCTGCGCTATTGCGATTTTGGTTTCATTGACAGCTAGCGTCTGGTGGCGACGTAAAAATGCCTTTATCTCGTGGAAGCAATATTCACAGGCGTTGAAATGTGGTGAGTAAGGTGACTGAAATAATAGTCCTACACCGCAATCGGCTAACATGTCCCTGAGCACTGGTTCAATGCGATGACCGTGGTGGAAGCCACAATTATCCATGACCACGCAGTCTCCCGCTCAAGCACTGCACTCCTGTGAGCTCGATGCTCTTGAAGAACTTCGTCAAAGACGTTTAGCAGTTCAAATCCATTAGATGGACCGTCCAGTATATTGTAAAAATCAACGCCGGAAAATGAATACAAAAGATTTATAGTGAANGGCATCTTATTTCTCTTCTTGTAATGTTATGTTTTTAGGATTGAGTTATATTCCTCGTGTTGTTTTTCTCAAGTAAAATTAAGGTAAACTAAAGTGAACTCAACAGTTCCTGCACACTGATTTATTTGAATGTGGGGAGTATTTATCAAGGTCAGATAACAAACAACTCGGCTTCATAGCATTGTGAATTTCAGATTCTTGTTCATTTGTTGATTTTTCTGGAAAAATCAACTACTGTCAATCAACTACTGTTGTAGTTATTAGCCAAACAAATCTTCGTTTACATTCCACTCTTGTAGTTGTACCTCTTGCATTACTACGTCTATAATATGTATTTTGCAACTCAACAACGTCAACAAACAGCAAACTTTGTAAATATGATGTGTTGTGTTCACAGATATCATGTAACATTTTTCTTAGTTGAGTTTTCTGATCTGGTTTACAAAAAGGTAAAAAAAGTATTGCTCATAAAAAGCATCCACAGTGCTTGAAATATGCATATGAGCTATTGGCAGTAATGTTGAGCATCACCTGCACTATTGCGATTTTGGTTTAATTGACAGCTAACATCTGGTGGCAACGTAAAAATGCCTTTATCGCGTGGAAGCAATAGTCACAGGTGTTGAAATGTGGCGAGTAAGGTGGCTGAAATAATAGTCTTACACCGCAATCGACTAACATGTCCCTGAGCACTGGTTCAATGCGATGACCGTGGTGGAAGCCAAAATTATCCATGACCACGCAGTCTCCCCGCTCAAGCACTGCACTCCCATCAGCTCGATGCTCTTGAAGAACTTCATCAAAGACGTTTAGCAGTTCAAATCCATTAGATGGACCGTCCAGTATATTGTAAAAATCAACGCCGGAAAATGAATGCAAAAGATTTCTAGTAAAATTTGCATTAGATGCTTAGCGCTGAATTTTGAAAGCAGCCTGTCCTAGTGGCGTACTCCATTCATCCATTTTGGGACTAGGAAAGCCAACTCTAATGCCTTTGAGGGATGTATTTTGTTCATTGTCATGGTCTATCACTTTCTGTTCAAAACCGGGGCTCAAACAAATTTCCTGTGTGATTTGACGTTTGCCAAATCCATCATGATAAAGGTCCAACACTTGTTCTCTGTACATTGCAGGTATGGCTCTTCCATTATCAAAGCTTCCACCATACCTATTCAGTCACACTAGCTGAACATCAGCTAGTGCAAAATAGAATAAAAATACAATTTTGTTTGCGAGACAGCTGTCAGGTCGTAGAAAAAAAAAAAACGGATCGTCAAGCAAACCCGAGTTCAAATATTTTAGAAAAGGAAAACTTACAAGCATTTTGAACGTGAGTGTGTAGCATTGTAGAACTCTTGACCAATATGTCAGTATATCTTTCACAACCATGAGCTTTTAAAAGTCCAGCACTTTAGTCATGTTTGGTTTCCTGCCGAATTCTATCCCGCCTGTATCAACTCGTCAAAAATATGTCAAAAATATGTCAAAAATATGTCATAAAAAGGTCGAAAAAACTGTCTAGGTGTTCACGGTACCGCGCAGCACTGTAAAACTAAACTGTGACACAAGTGCCGGTATATGTACATGTAAAGATAAGTAAGGCAATATGGCTCAAACTGAGTTTTTCTATAGCCTTACAGGGCTGCAAGTGACTTAATTTTTCCTTTACCTACAGCTTGACCTTGTAGAAAAAGATGATCACACTTATCTGCTTTATGTGCAACAATAAGGTGATCTAGCTTCTTTGTGGATGTCCATGTGTCATAATATCGCTTACATACATGTAATCTAGATTTCAATTTAGTTTCAACTTTTTCTGACACTTACAGGACGCTGCAGAATTGCCCAAAAAGCTATGTATTAAATGGTAAATTTAATTCATTTAAGGTTACTGTAGACCTTCAGAGGTGCCTTCCGGAAAATGGTCACACCCTGTGGTGCGCTAATATCTAACGAACATTTTGGCCAAGTTTCGTTGAAATCCAATAAATCTACATACACTATTAATTCATTTGAATAGAGGTAATTCACGCAAAAATAAACCTTAAGTTTTCAGCCTCAAAAGAAATTCACAGTTTTCGCACCTCACTGAAGCGGTTGTCAATGTGGCCATGCCGCCAACTAATGAAACGCAGCTTTAAACTTCCCAGTAGGCTACAATAATGCTTCCCAGGAATGAGTGTGCAATGTTTACATTTACAGTATATCTTTATATCTTACATTGTCTGCCGTGAAACATTCACAATCTAAACTGAATCAGCAGATAAATGATAAAGAAGGAAAAGGAAAAAAGAGGAATGCTAGCGGAATAGCCTTGAACAGGCCTACTCGGCGAGCCGAGTTGAGTGCGGATATTTACACATTTACGAAAAAACTAAACGCGCAATTCATCTGCCTTTTTGTTTTAGTAGATTATTGAAAAACACTCCATAAAGCAGTGGAAAGGAGCGTTTGGGGCAGTCTTGTCAGACATCAGCAATTAAATTTGTTGGTAATTCTGCAACCTTTGAGCCAGAAGAAGCTAGAGCAGGGCATCGACGAAACATTCGCTCGTGATTTGCGCTTGCGTTTAAATGTGGGAATGCGAAGCACCTAGTCTATCACTTAAGAGACGAAAACAATCAACAAAAGCGACGATTTCTCTGTAAGAAATTGCAAGACGTAATCAAAAGAAGCCAAATATGACTCCGTGGATGAGATCAGTTGCCACGAAAATTGTAACTGCTCAACTCAAAGGTTGACATATTTTAATTGGCTCATCACAGTTTGTGGTTCATTGACTCGTTTTAAGAATTCACGTTTTTGTGGATAATGCGTCGCGTCTTAAGTTTTTGAAATAGTTTTTCTTGGAAAATTCAGATAAAGTAAAAGTCTTGAATTTTGTGTCAAAAAAAAAATTGGACAAAATAGGCCCTCGAAGGTCTACAGTAACCTTAAGCAGTGAAGAGCTTTAATAAAGGGTTGTTGCTACGTGATGGCGGCCAGCTAAATTTGCTGGCTGAGAAAGAGATGACCAGAGGCCCGGCCCAACTGGATACTAATATATTTTTGAGTAGCACTTCCTGACCTTATATGGTGCAAAAACATAATAATAGAAATTATTAAAAAAGAAGTCTGTCTCAATAAAACAAATTTTAAAATTTTCTCCAATGCATTGATTGAATCAGTGAAACTGATGAACTTATTTTCAGTTTTTGTTTTGTGTTTAAAATAATTATTATTTGTTTAATACACTCTATATACATGTACATGCATAGTAGGTTGCTTTTACTGTGACTGATGAAAATCTAGTAACTTGAATTTTCTCGCTTCTAAAGGATTAGAAGTTTAATACTGGCGTGCAAGTTAAACAAAGAACTTTATGCAAACTAAACAAAATAATTAACGAGGGCCAAATATTTCCTTTTATGGTCATGCAAAGATGGTTTCTCGTGCTGCAGGAGAAAAAGCAGCTAAACCTGTTCGACCTTATAAGCTACAGTACTATAGCTAGCAGAACATACTCCTCTACGATTACACAGAGATGTAATTTCACAAAGCTTTCTTAGAGCGGCTTTTCTAGATTCTTCACTTAAAAGTCCTTTAGTTCATGGCACGAACTTTGCGGAAATTAATTAAGGAAATTCCCTCACAGTTGAATGGTACTGTTTTAAACTTTTAACGCCTCAATAGTCATGAAATCTTTGTCTCCCGCTTGACTCATTTGTGGTTTGCGATGCTGCAGCATACATGTTCCTTACTTTAAGCTTTAGATTGAATTACGATGACTTAACTTATAATGGCTTGCAGAAATCTTAAGCTCACCTCTATATCGCGGATTATAACGTTGTTACCATTCGTATATAAGAAATTCTTCCCTTTAGGATCTCCCTTTAGGACTGTCGGTCTCCCTCTCACAGTCCTTGGCGAAGTAGCAAATATGTGTCCTGTAAACATTAACAAAGCTCACTGAAATGACCCAGACCTTTGAATGCACACAAGCACCTGAACGAGACGAGCTGCTGCAACTTGACCATGTAAATTGTTCACGCTATGGATTATAAATTAACGCAGATGTAAACCTTTGAAATAAATAAGGTGCTTACCTTGCTCAAAAGACATTATCGTTCCTGTTCTCTGTACCGGTCTTCTCTGAATCACAGAAATCCACTGTCTTAAAGTATTTGTGTTTTCCTGAGTCTCAGTCACACCTCTTCCCATTCTCGTCCCCAGTGCTACTCGTCTTAAAATATCGTTGACCACGTGACCAAAAGAAACGGATGTACGGTTGCAGTTATGTCCCATTTGTCCCATGTGGCATTTCCTCTGACGTAATGGAATATACGGAGCCAATCATATCATGCGTTCTATCTAATAACACGCAGCATAAGACTGGTAACTAAACTCCGTTGTAGTTTGGTCTTCGAGCAAAATCGAATTTTCGAGAGGTAGCTTATGGAAGCAGTATTTGACTTTGTAGGTCTTAACTCTGAACCAGAGTGACTCTGAACGTAAACATGCAGCGACTATTTGCAAGAATTGCATTTACATCACAAGATTTCTATCGGAAATTGACCGCTTAGGGTATTTTCAGTTTCAAATTCAACATGAAAGTTCGATCGAAGATTTAAACAGTGGTTGCTCTCCGGTTTGCGAACTGTGTGTTCCCGGCCAGCCAATATTAAACTCCGCGCTTCGATTATCTTCAAATCGTTCAGATCGTTCAATGATATTACAGAGGCAAAACAAAATCTCTGAGAAGCAGTGTAACCAATTTTAGTTTCGGTGTCATAAAACTACCACTCAAACTGCGCAATATTTCTCTATTCCCAATCTTGTCACTCACACGAAAGCCGGTTCGCGAAAGCCCTCTACTCAGTATAAGTTTGTTGAGGCTGATTGAACCTTTTTTGATTTGCCGTCTCCCGTAGCATCGAACATTTATTACAGAAAGTTTCTTGTCAAGTAGATTTTATGGCCGGAGTGCTTTCTAACTGTTCCTAGTTCGCTTTGCTTTACAAAACAGCAGTAGCTAGCAGTAGTACAGTCGAAAAACCACACAGCACTTTGTAGCCTATTCAAAACACCACAGAGCGCTTTGTGGCCAATGCAAAACACCACAAAGCGCTATGTGGTGTTTTATTTTGGGATTTAACATTGAAAACTGGATGGCTCGTTGACTCGCAAATATCTCACAGCTATTTTCTGA